CCCCAAAACCCCAAAACCCCAAAACCCCAGGAAGAGAGATATTATAAAAAATCTAAATAAAATAATAATTTAAATTTAAACTAGAATACTAAAAGCAAATACTTGTACCCACTTCACTTTAACAGTTTTTCTCTTCAGATATTCATCGTTTTAACAATCATGTATTTCTACAAACAAACCTAAGATTTCCATAAACCGATATCTAAAGAACCAAAGTTCTTTAAGAACAGATACTAGGAGAATTATGAGTCACAAGCATGTGAATTTCTCCCGACATAACTAGAACTAGTTGAGGTAAGTTAGCAGTCACAATTTTCCGGGCTTAACTCTAAATTAATGAATTTGAATCTAACATTAAATTTAGGCTTAGAAAGAAAGGGAAAAATTCGAGGCATAAATAACAGTCTAGGCACCAATAACAGATATTAAGGATTTCGAATATAAAGAAACAGCCTATATTTTTTAAGAGAGCTCATAACCAAAGCTTGAAAATTCTCAGCCTTATATGACATAAAAATAATTACCTGGCTACAGATTTCTTGAAAAGCAAAGGAACGAACAATACTAACTCTAAAACTGTCGTAATTATTTTCTTTACTAAATTCCTGTATAGAATAGAAAAAGGTATCTAGAGTAAAATTGGAAGATGAACTGTTGCTCAATTCTGATGAAGATGATGGATATATCACCTAATAAAGTCAATGTCTAATTTAAAAAGTGATACCACAAATCAAATCAGAATTCCAACTGAACTTTAATAAAAATTCATATAAACCTTAGCATGCATCTACCAGCTCAACATTGACAAGCTCTCTACAAAGCCCTAAGTTCTAATTGAGACCCCATGAACCTATTTTGATTAAAAAGTAGATAGGATATCCTGGTGCCTTTAATTCTAATAAATTCACAATGAATAGAAAAGATGAAAAAGAGTAAAAATTCTTGGTTTAAACTGACGTTGTGTAAGATTAAGACTATGAGGCAGATTCTCAAATTAATGAGAGTGAATTTTAATCTTGTCAGGAATAGTCAGCAATTTAGAACATCAAAAGAAATCCTTTTTATCTGCAACATAATCAGCAAGGGCTTAAGGAAATAGATCAAATTACTAAAAGGTTAGCAGATATCAAAATAAATTCGCAAAGTAGTTAAGCAAGTATCTCGAGAAATACAATTGAAAATAACTATCAAAAGGAAAATTAGTGTTCTAATAATTTAAGTTCTTAATCAAGGAGATAATCTTAAATTGCACAGACTAGTTTCTCAACTTGTTCTTTAAGAAAGAGTCAAATTAATGTCAAAAAAAGTATTGAAGAGGCAATCGATACTGACTCATCTGATTAATAAAATGGATTTAAAGCATCATCAATTTGGTAAAAATAGTAGTAGTATTAGTAAGCTTAATAATCCCTAATTCTAAAATAACAATAAAGAGTCCTAGAGGTTCCAAAGATTGGCAACAATGAAAACTCAGCATTTTCCAGAGTTGCTCCTAAGATCGCTACTGAGAACTATATTAATTTTGGAAGTATAAATTCAAGCAAGCTGCAATCTATTTAATCCTCTAAGTAATCTGAGTAGTCTATGCAAGATTATTATAAAATGAGCAAGTAATAGTCATCTAATGCTAATATGAATTCTAAGCGATCAAACAAAACTACAAGATATAGTAGATAAGGCATAACAGAATAGCAATTAAAGATGATTGAAGCCACTGCTAGTCAGAGTTTTAATGATTTTCTTTCGACAAAAATAAATAGCAATTTTAATAAGAATAACAATTATATACCTTAAAGTGAAGACTTGAAGAATAATTGCGGACTCTTTAAATCTTAGTAAAAAAGTGAGTCCACAGCTATTAATACTTAAAATGATCTTCAAGTCAACTTTAATAGTAAGGCTAAACTTAATATTGCTAATACTACTAATTGCTAAGTTAATAAGGAATCTCTATATAATCAACTTTAGCCAAAGAGAAGAAAGTATAATGAGGTAGAATAACTATATTGATTGAGTATTTTGTTCTATAATTTAATTTTTTTTATTAACAACTATTTCTTCATTATTATCTTTAAATAGTGGGGTTTTGGGGTTTTGGGGTTTTGGGG